AGCAGGGAGCCTGATGCGGGACTCCATCCAGGGACTCCAGGATCATGACCTGAGCCGAAGGCAGTTGCTTAACCAACTGAGCCACCCAGGCGCTCTGAAAATCCAATTTTCTGAATGTGATCATTCCTGCATTTTATTTCAATTATTTATGTTTTCTGGGCTTAAGTTCTAGAAATAATTTTCAATACCTATATAGCCGCCCCCCTCAAAATTAGTAACATCAAGGACACAGAGGCATTTTTTTCTGAATCCATTTGCTGTATAAAGACCTTCTCCCTATACTCCTTTATAGGCCTATTTATCCTTGAGGTCTAGCTTCAGTGTCTCTCACTTGAGAAAGCTTTCCCAAGGTGCAGGATTCCAACAAACTAAGTTAGCACTTACACAGACCACTGTTATCATACCTGTCACAATGTAACATAAATGTTTGTGTGTCCACTACTACCAGAAAATGTGAGAGAACAGGAACCAGGTCCTTCTCATCCATTTATTCATCAGCTCTTTTAAAAAATTTTATTTAAATTCGAGTTAATGTATAAGTGTATTATTAGTTTCAGAGGTAGAATTTAGTGATTCATCAATTGCATAGAACACCCAGTGCTCATTACATCACGTGCCCTCCTTAATGCCCACCACCCAGTTACCCCATCTCCCCGCCCCCTCCCCTCCAGCAACCCTCAGTTTGTTCCCTATAGTTAAAAATCTCCTTTGGTTTGCCTCCCACTCTATTTTTATTCTATTTTTCCTCCCTTCTTCTATGTTCATCTGTTTTGTTTCTTAAATCCCACATGAGTGAAATCTTATGCTATTTGTCTTTCTCTGATTTATTTAGCTTAGCATAATACCTTCTAGTTCCATCCATGTCGCTGCAACTGGCAAGATTTCATCCTTTTTGATGTCTGAGTAATATTCCATTGTATGTATATACCACATCTTCTTTATCCATTCATCTGTTGATGGACATTTGAGCTCTTTCTGTATTTTGGCTATTGTAGATAATACTGCTATAAACATTGGGGTGCACGTGCCCCTCTGAATTAGTATTTTTATATCCTTTGGGTGAATACCTAATAGTGCAATTGCTGGGTCATAGGGTAGTTCTATTTTTAACTTTTTGAGGAACCTGTTTTCCAGAGTGGCTGCACCAGCTTGCATTCCCACCAACAGTGTGGGAGGGTTCCCCTTTCTCCGCATCCCCACCAACATCTGCTGTTTCCTGAGTTGCTAATTTTAGCCATTCTGACTGGTATGAGGTGGTCTCTCATTGAGGTTTTGATTTGTATTGCCCTGATGCCGAGTGATGTTGAGCATTTTTTCATGTGTCTGTTAGCCATAGTTGTATGTCTTCTTTGGAGAAATGTCTGTTCCTGTCGTCTAGTTTTTAACTGGATTTTTTATTTTTGGGGTGTTAGGTCTGGTAAGTTCTTTATAGATTCTGGATACTAGACCTTTATCCAACGTCATTTGCAAATACCTTCTCTCATTCTGTTGGTTGCCATTTAGTTTTGTTGATTGTTTCCTTTGCTGTGCAGAAGCTTTTTATCCTGATGACTTCCAATAGTTCATTTTTGCTTTTGTTTCCCTTGCCTCCGGAGATGTGTTAAGGAGTTGCCGCGGCTGAGGTCGAAGAGGTTGCTGCCTGTGTTCTCCTCTAGGATTTTGATGAACTCCTGTCTCACGTTTAGGTCTTTCATCCATTTTGAGTCTATTTTTGTGTGCGGTGTAAGGAAATGGTCCAGTTTCATTCTTTTGCTTGTGGCTGTCCAATTTTCCCAACACCATTTGTTGAAGAGACGGCCTTTTTTCCGCTGGATATTCCTTCCTGCTTTGTCGAAGGTTAGTTGACCATAGAGTTGAGGGTCCATTTCTGGGCTCTCTATTCTGTTCCACTGATCTATGTGTCTGTTTTTGTGCCAGTACCAGACTGTCTTGATGATTACAGCTTTGTAATACAGCTTAAAGTCTGGAATTGTGATGCCCCCAGCTTTGGTTTTCTTTTTCAACATTACTTTGGCTATTCGAGGTCTTTTCTAGTTTCATACAAATTTTAGAATTGTTTGTTCTATCTCTGTGAAAAATGCTGGTGTTATTTTGATAGGGATTGCATTAAACGTGTAGATTGCTTCGGGTAGTACAGACATTTATAGATATTTGTTCTTCCAACCCAGGAGCATGAAATGTTTTTCCATTTCTTTGTGTCTTCTTCAATTTCTTTCTTAAGTGTTCTATAGTTGTCAGAGTACAGAGTACTATTCCATTGTATGTATGTATCCACCCATCCACCCATCCCACATCTTCTTTATCCATTCATCAGTCGACAGACATCTGCACTCTTTCCATACTTTGGCTATTATGGACATTACTGCTATAAACACTGGGGTGCAGGTACCCTTCGAATCACTATTTTGTATCCTTTGGATAAACACCTAGCAGTGCAATTGCTGGGTTGTAGTGTCCATCTTTAACTTTTTGAGGAACCCCTTGGTTGCTTCTGGTCCTTAGCAAGGTCTCTCCTCTGCCCAGTCCCCAGCCCCCACTCATCTCATCTCTCTGGCTAAGGCCTCTTCATCTTCAGACTTCAGCAAAACCATCAAGTTTTTCTGAGGGGCCTTCCCTAACCACCGAATAAAGATTTCCCTTAATTTTCTCCTTTTGCATTCTGCCGTTGATAGTACTCATCACAATGGCAACAGCACTTTTATTTGTGCTTGTTTCTTAAATTTTACTCTCCTCCCATAAGACCATAAGCTCCATGATTGCAGAGATGTTTCTTTTACTCACTCCTGGTATACTCGGGGCCAAATACAGTGCCTGATACAGAGTAAGGTAATTATAAATATTTTGTTGAATTAATGAATCTTTTTTACTTAGCTTTTAGTGAGACTCAATGCTTACTGAATCAATGCCAAACTGCTAATAGCCATAAAATCAAAACACAAGTGAAATGAACATGACCGCTCATGGACTTGACTGAACAATACAAGAATCAGTGACAGTGCAACCACTCTTCTCATCACCTTGGAAATGGGTGAGATGATTCTGGTTCTCCACAAGGTCATGAAGAGACAGGAACTTAAGCCTCTCGTGTCAGAAGGCACAAGAGAGGATGGCTGGCAGTAGCACAATCAGCTGAAGTGGCTGGTAAGTTATTTCTTTGCTTTTAGTCTTGTGGACGCTACTGCCATGGATTAAATGCTAAAGCCTACGGGCCACTGGTGGTTAAAGATCTTTTGGGGTGATGCCATCTCTGCTCTGGTACCTAAACTTACAAATGCATGTAGGTACACACACACACACACACACACAGTCCACATCTAGTCATTTACAAAGGTCACTTATCTTTTTTTCACTTCTGCCCCCATGTTCAGTCTCACTGTGGCATCTTTACACTTTCATTTTTTTGCTGTGTCCACCATCCAAAACACTCTCCTCTCCCTATCCTTCAGCCTGTATCTCAAGTTCCTCCTCGTTTTTATAATCCTCTAATTCTTTAATAAGCCTCCCCCCCGCCCTCCTCCATGAATCTGTCAGTTCCTTAGGGTCAGGGCTCATGGCCTCCCTGCTGTAACTGCTCACTACAGAGGTGTGGTGCACAAGTGAGTTTCCACTTAGTGACACAACAACACATTGTAAGTAAACAGCAGTCATGGTAAATTAAACCTTTCTGAACTTGGGGCCCAGAAAAAGAGTTCGATTTCAATGTCAAACATAATGAAGAAGCTAGAAAACAGACATTCATGCAAGAAAGGGAATTCCTCTTGCAAATATATTTTCCTAAAATTATCCCTCAAACTGTAAATAACCTGCTACTGTTTCAGTAAGTATTCCCAGAAGTAGAGAAAAAAGAAACTCCCTTAGGTAGAGTTCTGTACTTAGTTGTATGACACTAGCCTGTTAGGTTGAGCACTGTAACTACCTGTAAACTCTTTTCCCACCTTCCCTGTCCCAGGAATCTTTTCTTCATTCTCTGCTTTTTGAAATCGTGTGTGTGTGTGTGTATGTATTTCAATGTTCAGCTCAAATATCTGCAAGTGTTTCTTGACCATCCTGACCAGGAATGAATTTGTTCCTCTGAACTCCAAAACCACTTTCTTACAATGATGAACAACTTCCAGGCGAGGGAGGCTGGTGGACCAGGGCTTGGCTTTGGAGTGAGAGAGTCAAGCTCTTCTATTTTTTAGACCTGTGACAAGGCGAAGACACGTTTCTTTATTGTCCCCTTTTGGGTGGTAAGTTGATTTCCTATTTACCCTTTCACTGAGGGCAGTCTTTTGGGGTCCCAGCTTCATGCAGAAATCTCCTGTCACAGCTAGTGCCTTGCCTAAGACATGGGACTGTATTCTCCTGCCTTCTGTACAGCCACTAAGGGAGAAAGTTTTAGATCTCCAGGGTTTGGTAAAAACTAACAGGAGAAAACAGCTTTCATATTTGCTTATCTCCTGGAATGTCTGCTTTTATTTCATTTTTAGCCCTAGCAGAATCCTTTTCATGCCTGCCCAGCAAAAGAAGTGCTAATTTTACCCATCATTTCTATCATTTTTGTGGTTTCAATTGGGAGGATCACTCAGAGAGATACTGAAGATGTGTGGTGAATACTACATTTAACTAAAATGCTATCTGTTTCTGAATACAAAATCGGGGGGATAATTCTGAGAGCTAAAGGCTCCCAGGATTTCGTTTCATTGGTACACTTAAAGCTCACAAGATTTAGTATCTTAGCTAAATACTACGATGCAAAAAGCATACACCAATCAAGCTCTTTTCCTCTGAAGCACCTGACAGATACCACGACTTAGAAAACCACCTGTAATGCTACCAGCGCCGGAGGTTGACAGGATGGAAATCGGAAAGGAAACACGGCAGGTTCTTGCTACCAGCCAAGTCATTAATTGCATTACCTCCTCCTGAGACAGGAAGACTCGGGTTCATTCATGGTAATATGATATGAAATACAGCTCACACCACAACATGATGAAATAAAATTTTTCGACAAACATTGCTTTAGTTGACAGTTTATTAAATATACTACATTTGTACCTTATTCTGTAGTTTTTTAAATCATTCACACAGGGACTTAGTAAAAACATACTTTATAGAAAACCATCTGCAAAACTAAAATAAAAATAAGAACACACATTTTACACACATGTTAGATAAACTGCTGGAAATGTTAGGAATTACTGTAATGGAGGTGACTGGAAAACATGAAGTGCCTTGACTTTATCAAATCTAACACCAGACCATGACTTCAGAAGTGTTAATGTTGAAACGTGGGTGCAAAAGTGTCTATTAACAAAACTGTTCAGTCTAACAGTGTTTGAGAAACAGGACAAAATAAAGTACTATTTTTCTTCTACAGATACTTCTCTAAATCCATTTCCTATGCACTCTCTCTCCCATTCAGAGAATTAATTGTGTGAGCTGATGAGGCAAAAATTCCTTTAAAAAAACAAACAAGAGCCTATTTACAAAACATGCAAAGGGAGAATTTTAAGGTGTTTGTTACTGCAGATCTGCGTAAAAGGGACTACAGCTGAGTGAGAGAAATATACCTTCACTTCTGCAAATATCAGTCCTTCCCCCCTCCTTTCTGGAAGAAATACATGTTCAGTGCATGGACTATAAAACGGCATACAATGCAAAGACAGAAACAAAGAAGTTTGCAAATTCTTTATATTTCCAGCTGTTGAGACAATATTTTTGAGAGCTGAGGTTACCTCTAGCGGCGAAACCAGAGCCAGCTATTAAGCAGCCAGAACGCTACAGTAATTGAATACATGACCATTTCTCTTTTAGCACGCTCTTTGTTCTCCTCTTCTAGAAGTTGTAGACGTCTATTTAGTTTGATTATCTAAGTGAAAAACAACAACAACAACAAACAAAAGAGAAACTTTAATGCACGGAGCAATTCGGTTCTTATAAAGCAGTATGATTTTTCAAAAGAATTCTTATAAACATGGAAAGTTTTGTGGGGAGCAAAATAATCTATATGTAGAAAAAATGTTACCCATGACAGCTTAAATTCACTGAAATAATCTTCTCCTTTTCCCTTCTCCAAATTTCTGAGTCAGAGAAAGTGTAGTTTCCTTCCTTCCTTGATTCAATGTGGGGCGAGGAAACTGTTGCATATTGTGTGCTATTCTGATCGAAAAGACCCAAGTACACATTTAGGCAGGCCTAACACAGCAGAAAGGATGAGGGGCTCCGGCTCCTTTCTAGAAGCTTCTGTCACTCAGCTTCAGTTGTTCATCTTTAACCTGCTTTAAGTGCCTTCTCCGTCCACTCTGAGTGACTGGGAGAATCTCCTAAAATAACCTATTACAGCGGGCCCTGTGCTCTGCCACCCAGACCCTTTGGGACTGAAAGGCTAGTAATTCTCGGGCTGCTAGGAGTATCACTGGTTGACAGCACTCTGCCCTCGGCTGTTGGTCCCTACTGTGCACAGCGCACACACACTGGGCTGAACGACTGCCTTGGCCTAGGCTCCTTCACTGGGGCAGCAGCATCAATAACCAGTTAGTGATGGGGTGAAAGGCCCAGGCCCCTCATTCCAACTCTGAATGGTCACCTGGCTTCAGAGCTCCGCAGGAGGCTGGCCACATGCAGCCCTTGTTCTGACTACACTGCAGCCCAACACTCCCCTCTTGCCCCATCCTGCTTCCTTTCCTTCCCTGAAGGTGGTCGTCTCAGGAGCACTCCCTGGGAAGCTCTCTTCGTGCAAACCGTCATCCCAGAATCTGCTTTCTGAGGAGTCTGACCTGCAACACCTATGTAAAAACACATTATAAAAGCAAAAGGGATTGCTAATGTTTTATCAGAGAGGTTGAAGGAGGAGCATTTTCATAATGCAGAATCCTTAGCACTTCAAGGACTGAGAGAACTACAAATTGGGGGTGCGGGGTGGGTGGAGCCAGGAATGGGAGTCTATGGGCAGAACCAGACATAGAGGTGCAGAGATAACCATTTTAACAACCTGAAAAAGTACTTCAGGTTTGGTCAGTGCTGAGCAACCATTTTCCGCCTACAGCCAATTCAGTTATATATATATATATAAAAAGGAGCGCATAAAGATTACCTTTTCCCAACCATTCACAACGAGAAGGGCTTATTTGGTCCCATGGGATATAAGGTTCTTACACTAAACAATCCATTTTATTGTCAATGAAAAAAATCGGCATTGATCTTGAGCCGTTAAAATATTTTTATCTGGGCTCATCTGAGAAGTAGCAACACCAAGGCAGCTTTTGAATGTCCCACGTTGATCGTGGACTACACTGTGTGTCTTGGAGCCAGGTGGCCCGCGAGTCCCTCATCCCTAGCCTGGACCCGATGGCGTGCAGCTTGCTGAGTCTTCACGTTGGCAACAGGGCAATGAGAGCCAGAGAAGCATAGCTTCCAAAGCCGCCAGGGTCACAAATGTGAATTCTGCAGAATCTTCTTGGGACTCCGTTTTGTTACTGATCTCAGAAACTCATAGTTTCCCAGATGGCTTCCTACTACTTTTAAATTCTCACAGAATGTGTGTGACTTGCTTATAATGACTGGTATCTTTGTCCTCCACTCGTTCACACCCTAAGGTAAAGACTGAATGGATGTTGTTAAAACTCTGAGGCTCTTATTACACTTTCAGGAAGGCAAGGTTGTTGGTGTAATGGTGAATTCAAAGACAAATGCCAAAGAAACCCCCTTCCTTCGATAGGCAAGGTGTAAATAAGTATAAGAAAATATGTAAGAACTTATAATACAGCATCCACTTGTTTTAATAAGTGAGACTCAAAAAAGTAATATTTGCTTCATATTATCTTTTTATTATATTAAACCTTTAAAATGATATTCAGATTTATTCTTAATGCTAAAATAGTTTCTTCATCTTAGAAATACCTTATTTCATTCACCTCTCCTCGGCACAGACACAATTACAACACCAACTATGCCTTCTCCACACGTACGTGTCTATGCGATTCTAGAGGCTGAGGGACTCATATTAAAAATGTGTGTATGCAACTATAGTTCCAAGACAGGACTTTTCATAGAACACAAGAACTGTGTTTATAAAGACACTGTGCGAAGTGGAAGCAGTGACTTCCAAAATGGAATTCTCAGGGTAACAGAGGTCCCCAAAGTGACTGTTCCACATTTCAAAAAGTCAAACAAGCAATTTATGACTATACCAGTTTGCTAAAACTTCAAGATTGTTTGTTATTGGCCAGAATTATACCAATCCATCCTGCTAATACTGTTTTATGCTGATCAAAACATGTAAATGGTGTTTTAACATATCTTTAATGAAAATGGAAGTCAGGGCCCCTGGGTGGCTCAGTCAGTTAAGCGTCCGCCCTGTGGTTTCAGCTCAGGTCATGATCTCAGGGTCGTGAGATCAAGCCCTGCGTCGAGCTCCGAGCTCAGCAAGGAGTCTGCTAAAGTTTCTCTCTCCCACTGCCCCCCACCCTGTGCTCACTCACTCTCTTTCTCTCTAAAATAAATAAATAAATAAACAAACAAATAAATCCTTTTAAAAAAATGGAAAAGTCAATTACGGCTTATTAAACAGCATGACAAATAAAATATTTCAATTCATGGGTTCCATTGGACAGAAAATGATAAAATGTTAAAAAAGTATCATTTAAGATATTGTATGACTGTACTTTAGGATTACATCTTATCTGGTATGTTAAATACCTGTCGTCTTAACGAAGCTGCATCTACAACAGTCATGTCGTCTGAAGTTCCTTCAATTGTTGTATCTATATGTGACATGCCATGCCTAGCAGATAAGAAATAAAAATACAATTTAGTATTAGAAAAGAACTAAGAGTATCTGGCAAGTTATGTCGTGTGTTGGGTTACTGTTCAAAAGACTGATATTTCACAATATGAATTACTAAAATATTTTACCATCTGAATTGGTACTAACAAAGGAAAGCAGAGGAAAAAGTATAAGTATTTTGAGCACTGATTTAAGAGCTGCCACTCTAGGATATAACAATGCATAATTCTTCCACAAACTCATGTCTGTATGTACTTCACAAGAGTCCCTGCTGAGACTCACTGGCAGGGAACACAAAGTACACTAACTCTAGCTAAAAAGATAAGACAGATTTTTTACTTCTCCTCCTCTTCTTACTGCCTTTTCTCTTGCCATTTCTACTCTTTAACTTATTTCTAATTACCTATCTCGACTGTGTCTCCCACAGAAGCAATTATAAAATTGCCTGAGTACATCCTGTCACTACGTTCAGATCCAGAATTGGCTCAATGATAAGTCATTTAGAGGCTGTGTATAAAATAACATTGGAAAGCCACTAAGAACAACTCCAGAGAAAGCACATTAAGAAATACTTCTTTTGCAAATACAGTTACTTCTAAAAGAGCACTGATTTTTAAATGCATGACAATAAACCTCTGAGAAACAAATACACACAAATGCTATTCTTCCCCTTTGCCTGGATTTCCACTTTTTAAGCTTATTTTAATTAAAGGCTTAACTGACATATAATTTACATGCCATACAATTCACCTCACATGTTTATGTCCTATTTTAATCCTGTATGGTTATTTCAGTGCAATGGCACAGTAACTTTCCTGAATGAGCAGAATATAAATAAACTGAATTAAAAAGTAACTCTTTTGTAATCCATACAGAGTTGGCACACAGATCATATATTCTAATCTTTCAAGCAAGTCCCCATTACAGAAAGCACATTATCACACAAAGGGGTATGAAGAGAATTAGTTTTCATCCAGACATGTTAAAGACACGTCTATTCAGAAAATCCTTGTTTCATATGCTGTTGAAAATTTAATAAAGTATGTGGAACAGAATTTATAATTTTTCAGTGTGCTCCCAGCCAGTGTCGTCATTCTGAACACTGATGATAACTATACGTGTTGCAGTTTCAAGGACTGATGGTGTGCACTGACTCTAGATAATCTAGAACAATCTCTAAATGTTCCTTTTATGGTGAAATGAACTTGCTTTCTCAATTACCCGCCCCTTCCTTCACTGTTAAGACTAAATATCCTGGAAGACTGACAGCAACTGCATCAGTAAAGTGAGCTAAGTGAGCAGATGCTGGGACTATGGGTTTATAAATATCTGAGTTAATCATTCTCTTAAACATTAAGACAGAATTATTAAAGGATTAGAGGAGAAAATAAGGGTTGAAGATTCCTTTTCTCTACACTTGATCTTCAAAATAAAACTTTTCTATTTCTCTGAGATTACCTATGAGATATAAACTGGGTGGGGGGAGAGGGGGAAGGGAAGCAATGCCTTCAAAGGTAAAGGGACCTAGGCTGAACATGGAGAAGGAAGTGTAAGTGATAGGGATTACTCAATTTAAATCTTGAATTAAGTAAGGTGTTAAAACATCTGTAAAGGAAATCTTCATTTGCAAAGAAATCTAAGGATATGGCAAAAGGCTTTACCTATATAACAACATACAACAGAAAAAAAATTACTTTAAGGTGTGTCTTAAACTAAAAGCTGTATTTATCAGAACTAAAAACTGTAAAAAATGCTAAGTCAGATCACAGACTGAAAGTTCTTTCACAGAAAGAGAAAAGGATCACAAACCTAAGTTCTAACTTCGGGAAATATGCAAGGGTAAACTTACAATGGATTGAATTAATACTGTGAAAGAAACCAGTCAGCAGAGTGGTAAGGGACCACCAAGGATACACGTTTCAATTCCTCTAACCTGAATTCAATATTATTAAGAAACTGATGTTTCCCTCTTCTCTTGCCTAAAAATCAACATGCCAGAGTCCTCTCATCATAGAAATAACGTGGACAGTTTTAAATCTACTGCAACAGAGCATATATTTCTGCTTAAAATAAAATTAGCTCGGAAAAAACGACAGTAATGGTATCTGTGAATACCAACCAATTTTCTTTTCCCCAGAAGATGGGAGATGGGGATTTTGGCACCTTAGAACCCTAAGAATTCCTATGTGCCATTCTATCTGTCTTTGTGCATGACAGGAAGAAATAATTACTCAGGCTAGGAATCCTGTATGAAAGCGCTAAAAGGGCAAAAGTAAGAGGGAAAAGCTTAAATCAACAGATGATAAAAACTCTTCAAACTAAATTCCTTTTTTAAACGTTGAGCTTTCTAGACTGTGAATGCTGATTTCCCCCCATTTAAGATTACGCCTTACACAAAGGTTTCTCCACACACTGCAAGTGACACTACAATTAACAACTAAAAAGGAAATGGTAGACAGAACCCTGGGCAACAATTATAATGATGCACATAAAACAAGACTTAAAATGACTTTTTCTGTGTTTCAGCATGATCCTCTGTAAGCTCCTAAAACTGTATTTAAATAAAATATCTCAGATGTTCCCATGATTCCATTTTTCTTCAACCTGTAGTAGACAAATGTCATGAATGACTAGGCTCGCTGTTCTCAGAGAAAAACAGGATGTACTCAGGATGTGGAAGTTCGAGCTATAATATACAGGCATGGCTACTACATGCACTATGTCCTGCAAAATACAAATTCAGTCAACTATTTACCCTGATAATTACAAAGTCTCAAAATTTACCTGACGTTGTCATGATGAGGATTAGAAGTGGCGGCAGCAGACCCACCACGCAACACAGGTCTAAGGCAGGTTTTTGCGGGAGAAGGCACAAGACAGAATCAGGAAACAGAGAAGTAATAAAACAAAAGCAAAAACAAGACAAAAAAAGTCAAATAGGATTATATTGTATGTCGTAATACAATATAATATCTTTCAAATACTTTAAAAATTTTTGTATCACATGGCCTCCATTTTGATTTTCATAAATTTAATGTTTCACCATGGGCTAGAAAACAAAAGGGATCTATCTTGTGTGACAAGACAGCACACACATCAAAAGTTTTCTTTGGTGCCTATTATTTTAATTTATGAAATTCAAGACAGAGGACAACGCTATTTAAGAAGTCTAATTTCTCTTTTCTAGTTGGAAAAAGAAAATCACTAGCCACTTTTGGAAGCATGTCAACAACCGGTTAGTAACACCTGCATGATCATGGTTGCTCGTCTGATAACAACAGCCCTGTCTCGAAAATTAAACATGTCAAGCAACTCCCATTTCCCACAATTCCTTCCCTCCCACCTCATTTGATTCACGCCTGATACCTTAACGTAGCTGTGTCTCATTCAAACTTCGGCTCTGGAGAGCAAAGCCGTAAGTTCTGGAGCTGGAGCGGTCTGAGCACAGGCTCTGAGGGCTACATGATGGCACATTACAAAGTACAATCACATGTGTGAGTCTCATCCTGAGACAACCAGGAGTGACATACAGGGCTGCTGGGAATGAAGACTAAGGTGCACTGGACAACTTTGTGGGGCTTTTCATCAGTTTCAGTACATACTTTGGTTCTAGAGGACAGTTAGTTCTCTACCTAGGTAAGCAGTAACCTTTGCAATGAATTTCATTTTTAAAAATCAGAAAACAAAAGCTCTCTGTGGTTGCTGGTCAATTCCCCCAAAAGTAATCAGCAACGTTTACAAACCAGAGAAAGGAGGCTGAGCTATAGGGTCCATATGAGGATTTTAAGAATTATTACCTTCTGTTTTAAATGTCTCATTCTCTAAATACTGATGAGGTTTTTGCCTGAATTGGAAGTATCAAGGCAATACTTAATTTTGGTAAACATTTAATACCAAACGAATTAGTTTTTTCTGTAAGTTGGTACAGCTGTAGAATTTTGGTTACAATACAAATCACTACTTTCTGTCGAGTTAATTCATACAAGGAAGTTTTAATGTTTAGCTTGTACATTTCCTAAAGGCACTACTGGTGCTTAAAGAAATTTCTGGGGCCTAGAGGATAAGAGATTCAGAGACTTTCGGGGGAGACATGTTAGACTTCTATCATGCTGGCTAAATAAAGAACAGTGAGAAATCACGTATGCTTGAAACAGGTTTTTAAATCGTCCCATCCTACTCATATATTCACTCTGTGGCATTAGGAAAACTTACTTCATTACAGTCTTGTTACACTAATAGGAGGAGAATGGTCAACTAAATGAAGCACCTGCTGTGTGCTACCTAAAGCTCTTCTTAAAAAATTCATACTGGTATGTTCAAATGGATCTGCCATATTCAACATATTCCACCACAGAGATTTCCCTTTTATAATGCAGAGCCAGAAAATAATACAGTTACCTTTCACAACGTATTTCATTTTGTCTTCTCACACTGGCAATTGACACACATAATATAAAAGTAAATTAGACAGGTATTTGGCAAAGTTAGAAACTTCAAGTACCACTTTCTACCGTAAGTATGATTTAATACATTAAAAAAATCTTTTTAAGTTTGATCATATATTCGACAATAATGTTTTGTAACTAAAGCGGCAAAAGGGAAAGAGATCTAAGGTTCTCCAAGTTCTAGCACCAACTTGTATATTAACATTTTTGAGTAAATAAATGCTCTGACTTAATAAAGTATGTGCTTCTTCACTAAAAAAACGGACACCGCTATGGTGAATAAACAGTAACATATTTATATGCATACTTGCAAAAATATCAATTATTTACACAATGATTTTGTATTCTATTCACTCAAAGCCAATACAATCTGCTCAAGAAAAACTGTATAAAAATAATCAAGCTCCTTCTAAAGATAAAACTTAAGCATGCTAAGCATGACTAATCTGTTGATATTTAAATAATGTTCTTACATGAGAATTAAGTTTCTTTTTTTAAATGTCAATATTTTGCACTGGAGAATGAGATATGGAGTTCTAGGAGATGTCAGGAGACATGGGCATTTCCTGAGCAGCCAAGGACTAAACACAACAGAATAGCAATAAAGTTTTTGATATATCAATTTTCCAAATGCACAGCACTGACCTGTGTAAATAAACTTTTCTAATGTGTACCAAGGATTTAGCTTTGTCTCCATGTGGAGCTTGGTTTTAGACCAAATAAGTTCTCATAAGAGGAGAAAACAAAAATATAGTACATAAACCTTTCCACAATGTTCCTTAAAATGTCAACTAAAAATTGTTCTTCCATCAAGCAACTGTGAATCTGCATTGATAATAAGGCAGGCAGGAAGTTTTTTTCTTTCTTTCTTTCTGCCAAATAGTTCTAGCTTAATTTAACTGTACCTAATGTGAGGGCAGAAGACCAAAGATAGGATATTGCATTAGCATAACCACCAAGAGTAATAAAATTGAAAAGAAAAAAATGATATACAGAGCAAGGAACATAAAAGCACTTAAAACTTTATAAGCAGTATTATTTTAATAATCATGCAAGTAGAACATTATCCAAATTTCACATTCCTACTTCTTGTATCTGCAAAGTCATGCCAGACAGTTCTCTTGTAGAAATAAAAACTGATTTGGTACTTACAATTCTGATTAAATCCTGTTCAACATTTAGATCATAAGAAATTTAAATATAATCATGGAGGGGAAAAAAAAAAAAAAGGAACCCTTTCAATAATGAAAGCATCCAGTAAGACTAATAAGAATCTAACCCTCCAGGCTCCAAGGAAACAACTAATGGTGTGTATCCAGGAGCAAAGAATTATTAATACAATTACTTCATGAATTTTAAAAATCTCATTTAAATAAACAAGAAAAGATCATTCCTTTTCAGAAAATGGATTTTAAAGCTATCAATTCATTACATTAAAAAATAAAGAAAATTTCATTTAGGGCTCAAAACAGCTTTTCATAATAAAAGAATACAAAGTAAATTCTAGAATAGTAAGATTTCTGATTTTGTATTTTTGAACTTGAAGCAAAATTCTTTTCCATTATGGAGAAGGACTGTTTTGTGAAGCCATAATCACTTAATTTATATCGAATTTATAAATATCTTTCTCATTCAGATATTTTCCCTGTAATAGCATTTGATATGACAAAATTTGACCTCATAATCTGGTCTCTTCTAAGGACCTACCGTAATTAAAAAGGGAAAGAGGGTACCTGGTGAAGAATAAACCTATTTTAAGGAGGGAGTTTTAGAAAATAGGCCTTTGGGAAGATCAGTTCTTAAGTGCCAGGTACTTCATATTCAATATCGTTGGAAGCATCTGCCATGACCCTAAATAAGGAATCTGATTGAGGCCATTATTACCTATATCTTATATAAAGATGGTGGTGGGGGCGGAAAGAGTCCTCACAAGAATCTAGAAAACTAGGTAATACTATTATTATCCCTCTATTTATAGATGAAGAAAATGAGGCCCAGAGAAGCTAAGCAATTTGTCCAAAGCCCTCATGCAGCTAGCTATTCAGTGGGGTGGATCATGACGAATCTGACTGGCCCCCTGAATCCATGCTTTTTCTTCTGAACCATGCTGCTTCTTACAGAATACAAATACTCTCAGATAGTCCTCTAAACCTTTGGGGAGGGGGATGCATATGTATACACACATGCATACATACATATACATGTACATATAATTTTTCCCTGCTACGAGCTTTCTGTTTTAAGCTCTTTCCTGGTGCAGCTTTAAGTTCTGGGGCCCAAATGGATAGCACTGCATCAACCCTGGGAAGGCTTAGAAACACCAGTCGACAGTAAGGACAAGTGTTCATGAAGTATGGTAAAACCTCTGAGGCTTCTATGAGGATCAAAAGCACTCAACAAGAAAGTCTGTTCAGAGTGAGCCACAAGACATATCAATTCCTAAGGTAAGAAACAAGGTTTACTGGAAGGGCCAGCTTAATTTACTGGGAATTCTTCAAAAGTTAACAGTCTACTAAAATGACCATGAAAATTCAAACACTGGCTCACAGAGTCACTAGATAAAATGCTTGGAGTTGAAATGAAACTGCCTATACCTTTCCCACACTATGCCAAAAAGCTCCCCAAATGTTATCTTTTAAAAACACTATGTAGTGAAGAAGCAAGGGCAAAAAAAATATCTGAAATAATGGCCAAAAAGAATTTGTATAAGCAAGCCTAAGTGTACTACTACTGATTTCACTTGGGGATGTTCAAAAGTGAGAGAAGTTATCAATACTGAAAAATATCAGTATTTCCAAAAAGATAACAGTACTTGGGATTTCCAGTATAGGCCTAGAAATCCGTAGCTAAAAGTAAAAAAGTGTCCTGGCAGCTACACTGATACTGTCCTCTCAGATTTGCTTCATTAATCCAACAATATGAGTATCATAAATGCTTCAATCAAAAGACTTACTAAAGAAAATCAGTATGCTTCAGTCCAACATCCTACACTCAGTCCAACAGGAGGCCTCCCCATATTCCAATGGAGTCAAGTACTCAGAACAGGTCAACAAAGCCTTTGAAAAAAATCATTATACTTCCTGTATATAGTTATTAACTGAATACTCTCCCTGACTGAAGAGAAGCTAACAGAATCTTGTGAAATGTGAATTTTGGACAATAATTTCAAATTAAAAGAAAGCAAAGCAAGTTGTTTAAAACCACTTCATCTTGGAAAGAGACGAAGGTGCAAACACAAAAGGAAGACACCACAGTCCACTAACAGGGAGCCAAAAAAATATGCATTACAGCCAGCAAGAGTCACTGATGGCCAATCACCTGCGATTTTCATCCAGCACATCCAAGATCTGCTGGTAAGCCCTACGGGTGGAAGACTGGATAAGCGACAAAATGCCTCGAGCAGAGGAAAGATTAGCTCCATCTTCAGGTAACACTGGGGGAGGACAGACCCGAATCTGTTGTGGCGACGGTGTCACACTGTTCACACAAGCACAGCAAATGAAGAGAAAAACACTCGTCAGATTTTTATAAAACTTCAGCTGAGCCGTTTCCCCAAACCCTTAATATTTTAAGAATTATCTTCGTTTTCTTGTCCCTTTTCCCACCCTTCACTTTCCCCTATGAAAACAGTCAAACCAAACAAGTTAATAAAAGTATTAAATTGTTTTTTAAAAAAAAGCAGCTACAGTGCAACATCTGTGACTGTGTACCCTTACGCATCAAATTAAGCCAACTGAATGTGAAAAAACAACTCTGGAACAGGAAGAGAACTACAGCAAGCGGTGGGGTCAACCTCGAGCTTTGGAGAAGCGGCATTCTTTATTCGGTGTATGTATTCCAATCCAGTCAATCAAACCTCTCACAACCAACACTGCACTGTGACTTAGGGGTGGTGAGAAGGTTGACAGAGAGTTCTAGTAGAACAGTGTCAGAGCTCAAACACACGAATCAAAGTGATTCCATGAAAACGCCATTTCAAATACTTCACAAAGAAAGACAATGAAGCAAGCTGAGTTTATGATGTGTAAATTAAAAATGAACTAAAGTTTCAGGAAGCTGTAACAAAAGCATTTTGATAGCTTCATTATATTAAAGCATATGGTCTCTAGCTAAATGACTAAAACATAAAACTACTCCCAATTCGGTGCAGAGGGTGAACAGAGGCGGGAGATTTCTTAATTCTCCAGATGGGTGTTAAACAACCATTTCTGGGCTTCTTGGTGACATAATCTTAATCTTTCTTCCCTGTGTAAGCCGAGAGTCACAATTTCCTTGGCTCCACTGCCAGTGCTTAATAGAAGCTAAACATACTTGAATGAAGCGATTTTAGTTCTAACATAAACTCTTGAGCTTGGTGTATTTTCACAGAGCAGCTTAATGGTAGGGCATGATCAGCGGTGTGAGGTATTTAAGTGATACCAGAACTTGGCCATCTGGTTTGTCATGTTAAGAGGCTTTGTTGCAATAGAAGGACCATGACCCTGGGATGTGGGCTCAATACTTTTTCTCAGGGTCAGGGCAAAACCCCTTAGGCTAAAACTCATCCTTGTATATTTCATCCAAAAGAATGAAAGTGGAGCAGACAGTGAACAACTGAAAAGAGGAAAATCTTTTATTTTGACTTGTGTAATCTTTTCTAACTTAACATGCATTTTGTTTGGAAACCACAACGTAAGTGGGATCATTTTTGAAAGGACAGCTGACATCTAATATTATTCCCAGAGTCCCCAGAACATTAAAAACATCAAAAACAAAATCCACAATTTTGTGAATAACTTTGAATGTCTTGATAATCCAAAGTGAGAAGTATTATAAATACGAAAGCCATGTTTTCCAAAGACTATTTAGAAGAGAAAGATCTAAGCCGTATCTTGGCATATTGAGAAATTAATTTATCACGGCTGATTCTTCACAGGAATTTGGCCTATTGCTGTCAAGATAAATGCAAACTTCTAGGTACAGGCTCATGGATGATTACCCTAAATGTCTGTCCAGAGATTCTGGAATATATATAAGCCAATTTAACAACTGACCCATGATACTTGGCCAAACCCATATTGAGCATCCAAGAAGAGTAAAAAGAAATCAGTATTATTTGGGATACAAAGTCTAGGTACAAACCTTCTACTCAGCCTTCACTTTAGGGAGTACAGGGAAAACCTGAAGTTCTTGCTCTTTGTGAGAGACCAGACTGAATTCATGTTAGAAAAGTGTCACCAGAAGCAGAAATAAGAAGGCCAGTTCTGCATTACTATAATCAAACAATCCAACTTACATTCTCTTGATAGAGCTGCCAACAAACTGGGCTAAATTTAACTTAAGTTGTAAAAGACTAACCGGTACAATATTCTGATTTAATAATTAAAGTTTTTGTCTTTGCATTTTAGGGCTTAAATCGAACACTTCGCACATCATTCTGCATCAGTAAATACATTAGCTACACACTAACATATTAAAGGCTATAATAATCAGCATTTAGAATTATAATCTTAGAGCAACAATGTCAATAAACTAAATCCAAATTCACGACAGAAGTTTGACGGATTTTTGTCCACTAAAAATTACAGAAGGGTTACTTCCTTTGAGAGAAATAATTTTGTCAGAAACAAGTGATAGGAACTATTTATTTAAAGTTCTAAAAGCGCAAGTATTTCCTGTCCATACATGTGAAATCAGGTGGTCATTTATAAAGTAGTCAAGCATAAACTAATTTCAGAATAGCTGCAAAGAATTCTTAGGAGGGAATGCACAGAAGGTTGAGTATGAAAACAGTCAACAAGATCTCTGCTGATTCTAAGATTCTACGCATGATCATATGAAAATTGGAATATGATAACAAATGAAAAAAAACTTACAGGTTCCTCAACTGTAACTTAATGAGAAAAAATATTGTAGAAAGATAAAAGATGAAATTAAGTCTTTATCAATACTAGTAAAGATATTTATTTCATCAAAAACCAACATCAAAAGCACACTTGGATTTCTGGTTGTTTCTCAAAAGAAGTTAAAGTTCCAAAGAGTAGTAAGAAATTTAACTCACTTTTCTGTATTTATTTGGTAATCCTTCATAAATACCAAAAACAGAACAGGAACTATTTTTAAAACTGTTGACCACTTTGGGCAGTATATGTATAGATTAAATGCCCTTGATTAACATTTATTTCCATCTACAGTTGAACCAAATGATTAAATCACAAATGACCAAAATTACCCTAGTTAGAAGCAATAAATACTTTAGCAATTTTTTCTTTTTTAAAGCTTCAAGTGGTCTTGCAGGTGTTTTTTTTTCGAATAAATTTAAGAACAAAAAAGAATAAGCCCATTTTAGCAATCAGCCTGATGCTAGCTGGAACTTCCACCACTGACTGGCATCAGCTGTGGAAGGAAACAGTGCTTTTAGGATTTTTATCTCTGTCCACTCATCCACCCAACCAAGGTGTAGCGACTTTTTGTTTTGACAAGTGAACTACTGTGAAAAACAAAAAAGTAAACATATTGCTAAGGCACTGGGATTATTAAAGCAAATGTTATAATATTAGTAATTTAATAGAAATGTACTTTGATAATAAATTGATCCAAGTAATGTTATAAAACAGCAAAATCTCAACTTTATCTTTTTCTTTTACAAAAGATTAGGAAACTTTGAAGAAAGCACTCATGTTTACCATATCATTTCACCAGTAATAGATCCACCTCATGCGTATATGAAATCTTACTACATGAATGTTAAGTAAACAACACTAGCCAATGTGAGAACTAAAATTTAAATGAAAATTTATTTGGCATAACTATGTCATTATTAAAAGATCAGTCCAAAGTCAAGTACCTCTTTCCCCAAGGGTTTTCACAGGAACAATGTTTCTCAAACTGTGAGGGTATAACCTCTTTGGTGAGGCTCCAACCTCTTCCAAAAAAAACAGTAAAAGTAAAATCATGAAAAGGGGGAGAAAAAATTTTCATGGAAACACAAATTTTGTACCATTTCTCTTGAAAACATTTTTTTTTTTTAAGATTTTATTTATTTGACAGAGACAGAGACTGAGAGAGAGTGAGAGAGAGCACAAGCAGGGGGAGCAGCAAGCAGCGGGAGAAGGAGAAGCAGGCTCTTTGTGGAGCAGGAAGCCTGATGTGGGGCTCAATCCCAGGACCCTGAGATCATGGCCTGAGCCGAAGGCAGATGCTTAACCAACTGAGCCACCCAGGTGCCCCATTTCTCTTGAAATTTTAAATAGAAAACTTTAATTTTTTGCCACTGTCTAAGGCAATTTCCTGGTTCCTAGAAGCATAATAAGAGAACTAGAATAAGAGAAAAATCAACTTCTGTGATGAACTGCATTGGCTGTTGAATTCCTATACAGCAGGCTGAAATATCCCCACAAGAGGTCAGTCACCCCCACACCTTGTTCTGTCACACTTAGAGAAAGAATGGGTTTAAATGATCTCAAAACATTCTTCTAAGCATTATTTTAATCTATGGAATTAAAAAAAAAAACTTAATGACAAACACTCTTAAACCCCATTCTCCTTCTGGATGAAAATAAGGCAGACACCAAACCTGGTTAAGTTGAATCTATAGAGAACTAATATGCCAATGAAAGCAAAAAAAAGAAAATAAAAAAGGATGCTTGGTCCTTATGTGTAAATTATTCCATTTTACTTTCACCGCTATACTCCAAATCATACATAACTTCCTTAATTGGTCTAGTTGTCTTTTTCTTTTTTTTTCCTTAACAAAGTGTATGATGACAGTTCGAGAAATCCTAAAACCCAGGTACTGAAAAGCCAGACAGTAAGAGCATTAGGGTATTATGTGATGATAATTACTTAGTGAAATATTAGTATAACACAAGCCTGCAAAATCAAAACAACTCCTAGTTGTGAAAAGCACAGCAGATAAAATCTTACGTGTACTCCGGTGCAGAAATCGGTGCCTGGAACCTTGAAATTTTATTTCTTGGGGCAGAATCTGATCTGTGCCACCTTAAATAATAATTATGCTTCTTTTACATATTCAGCTTTTATAACAGAAAGAAAAAGCTAGATACAAGTCTACTGGTCAGAATTCATTTTTGTGTCAATAGCGGACAATAATCAATCCTACTAACTCTTGAAAGCAATTAAGAAAACAAAGGCCAGTGCTCCTGCTCTTATGTCTGTACGTACTTCTACTCTTAAAGCCAAGGAATAAAATAAAATGGAGGCAGGCAAAGGTTCATGCACAATGACACAATTAATTTTACATTACAAAGAAGAGACTAAAATAGGCAAAGACAGCAAAAGTTTAATAACTACATTAGTGGAAGTAAAACGTAGCTGTTTTACATCAACAATTTCTTCGTTACCACACTACCAACACTGAATATATAATAAAGCTCATTATATAAAATTCCTAATGTTAATTACATATAGAAGGCTTACAAATGAATTCAATTATAAATTTTAAAATTAATAGTGGTAGGGGAAGAAAAAGCAAGGTTACATTATTAACAAAAAGATGGTCAAGCATCTTTCCATAACATGGTAACATACATAATAAAAAAGTATGGTTAATCTAAGTATGGTAATATAAGAATTTCACTGTGAAAATGTAGTTAAATATGCATGTTATTTTTACCACCAAAAATTAAAACATGAGATTTTCAGTTTTGTTAAACATCTAGAAAGTGCCATTAAGGCAAGTGAAACACAAAAAGAAAGCAAACATTAGTTAACTCTGTTAATCTTCTCTGTCATAAGGAACTTAGGTTATTGGTAAACTACAAAAATACCTATGAACTAATCATCTACTCTAAATTATACCTCTCTAGGATGGTTTTCAAACATAGTAAAGCTGTTTCCTTTCTCTTCAACTCAACTCAGCTACCAATAGTTACTTAAAAACCAAAAGTGATGCTATACTAAAATAGTCCTGCTTTTATCTCACTAGTGTGAAATTTCAAGTTTATTAGAGACCTAAATAATAAACCACATCTTCATATAACAGAAAAGTTTATTAGAACCCTTTGCTACCTTGAAAAATATTACAAATAGAAAATAACAAAAGCCCTTTGGTGTATGCTTAATCATTCTGATAGGTACTAAATATCAAGAAGCTATCCCAGCCATCAACTATGTAGCCTTTTTACTATTTGTGTAATATATCTGGAAATATTCTAGAAAAATGGATTTCATGGACCAGCTGACATCCCTGACAATCAGGTATCTTCAGAGAAACATAACTACCATAAAAAATTGTCATATTAATGGTTGAACTTTTCAGATATTTCCTGAAGAAGAGATATGTTCATTTTCACTTACTGTCTTCCTATATAACCCTTCAGAATAACTAGAACTACTTTGGGAGACATTTCAAGATTTTCCAAGAAATCAGAGCAGTTACAGCTCTCCTTTGCACCTACCACAAGAGAAGAGAGAGCCTAATCCCATCAAAGCCCCTTCTGCATCCATATATTCTTCAGTCAGTTCCAAACTAGAACTTGATGTGGTTTAACACAAATGGTGTATTGTACTGTGCTCTACTTTATCTGTGTATACATTTAAGTGTTTCGCTTTTATCTAGATTTGCAAACTCTGAGAGATGTACCATCTCCTGATTCTGTTGCAGTTCCCAGAGAAGCTAACAGGATGCTTGGCATCAAATATGGTTCATGATGAATGAGTTCATGAAAACTGACCAAAAATGTAATGAGGAAGATATATTAATTTACATAAACAATCTAAATCATCTATTTAAAAAAGCTACAATCACCAATGGATTTGACACTTAAAATTCTGAACAGATTAGATTTTAAAGGGTTTTTTTATCTGTAAAAATCCATTAATTTTAATGAAACAACAAAAAAATCTGCCTGATCTAAAACATCTTATAGCGGGGTAGCTTTAAGATCACAGTATGATAATATAACCAAATAAAAAAGAAAAGTTTAAACAAACAGCCCTTTAAACAACATACTTGTATTTTTGGAAGATGAAATGGATCTAACAATTCAATGACTCAGTAGGCAGAGAGCTAAACAGTAACCCAAGGAAAGTAAAACAATTCCACTTGCCTAAGCTACATTGTTTACCATGGCTCTTTAGAAGCAGAGCTGGAAGGGCTGGTTCACAATCTGAGGACAAATTGAATAACTTGAAAATAAACACACTTACTTAGAGTGTTTTCCTTTTGTTTTGTTTTTTCAACCTACATGCTAAACATTTTTGAAGGTTGCACAGAACTGAGCACTTACATTTATCAATCTCTCTTAAGTATACTTTATAAGCAATTCCCCAAATAAGTAGATCATACTTCTAGAATTCTGCCATACACGTAAAAGAGGATATTGCTACTGGAAACTTCTCACAGCATATTTTAAGGCTATAAAAATAACTGCAAAAATGTAAAATTGATGTAAATGTAAAATAGAATTCAAACACTTAAAAGCAAATTATTTACTTTTTTCTTAGGTTCTTAGGCAGGAAACACATACGTTCCCCTCTTTTTTTTTTTTCTCATATTTGGGAGTAAAAAAAAGAATTATTTAGAAAAAGACAGGAGAATACATGGAGAAAACTAATGAAGGAGATACACTGCTCAGTGGTTCTACTCACATGGAGTCAGCTCTGACCAGCTGTCCGTTTTGGCGAACAGCATTTTCACTCATAGAGCGCTCTCTTTTTAGCCTGCCAACTGCACGGATCTGTGGGGCACAAAGAAAGGGAGAGGAACAGAAAATATTCTTAGTAGCCTAGTAGCTACTTAGCATCAAAAGAACCTTAATCCAAGGTTACTCACAAAATTTACAGAGAACATAACCAAGATTGCTGCCAAGCATGAGTACAGGTTAAAACAAAACAAAACAAAAACCACCTACTTATTATAATGCAGATAAACTTAGGAATGCTTCTTTACCTACTGAAAAAAACTACTTCTGGTTTCTATTTTTTTTTATATAGATTTATTTATTTATTTATTTGACAGAGAGAGAGCGAGCGAGAGACGGAACACAAGCAGGGGGAGTGGGAGAGGGAGAAGCAGGCTTCCCGCCGAGCAGGGAGCCCGATGCGGGGTTCGATCCCAGGACCCTGGGATCATGACCTGAGCTGAAGGCAGACGCTTAACGACTGAGCCATCCAGGCGCCCCTGGTTTCTATTTAAGTATCAATCTTACTTGGTACCATTATATTTTTATTTATTGTAATTCATATAATACATTTATATTAAGAACAATTTACAACAGTTTTTAAAGGCATGTATATTATAGGAAATGGGATGTAGTTGTATTACAAATAAATGTTCCAGGCTTCTGGGGTTAAAACAAATTCAGATTTGGTTGGATATTTGAAAACTAGACCAAAAAAAGCCTTGGTACTAGCTTAAAGGTTTTGGCATTCCAGAAATGGCCACAATCTCCCATCGCACACGCTCTCTTCTTACAGAATATATCACTGACCTTCTCCATTAAGGGATAGGATTTATGTTCCCTTCCTTTGCAATTGGTTGGGCTGGTGACTGCTGTAGAGATGATGCAATGTGACTTCTGAGACTAGGTCATAAACAGCAATAAGGCTTCTGCCTATCTTCCCTAAGCCGTTCATGTTTGGAACAGGGGCACCATGATGTGAAGATGCCCACGAGTCACATGGAAAGGCCATGTGTAGGTGCACCCACCAGCAACTGAGCCAGTATCAACAGACATGGGAGTAAACCGTCAGATGATTGTAGACTCAGGCTATAGAGTCATCCAGAGTCATCCCTAGCTTTGAGACTTCCTAGCTTAGACCCAGATGTTGTAAAACAGAAACAAGCTTTCCCCATCATGCCAGCTGCAAATTCCTCAGACACAGAATCCGGGTCCATGAGCAAAATGAAATTTTGGTTCTTCCTTTTTGTTTTAAGCCACTTACTGTGGGTTATTACAGAGCAATAGAACAATGGTAATCACTAACTTTCCTGTTTAGGGTTTTTTTGTTTTTAACTAGAAATAGCCATGGCAACTTCATCGTTTTTTTTTAAAAAGTAAACTTTACTATAAAGGACAATTGGTATGTGAACCAAGGAACTTGAAAGTTAAGATTTTAAAAAACACAAATCAGTACCTAGTGATGATTTTTTTAAAAACCTGAGAGTAGATTACCAGGTTACAAGCACCTTCAATGGAGAATAAATCCAGATTCCATGACAACAAAATTTAAAACCACACTATACAGTACATAATTTCAGAGCATGGTTTAAATTTGGTTATGGGTTATGAAACACTTAACCACTTGAGCAAAAGGAAAAAAAAAACACTTCTAGAAACAAAAAAGGAGTCAGTTTGGAGCCTACTGTAAGAGCTCTTTACAGTTAAACCAAAAATAAAAATTACTTTAAAGCAATATATATATGTGTGTTAAGTTATATACAACTTAAATATATATATATAACTTAACAATATATTGTTATATATGCATATATACACACACACATATATATTGGTGTTATATATATGTATATAGCTTAACACCTCCTCAATCAAGTACACTTGATTCAGAAAATAGTACTGGGGTGATCTGTGAGAATCCCAATGATTCCTGCCTTCCTACCTACTGCACAGCTGTGCTTGCTTTCCCTAGAGAACAGCTCTTCCATGTTGCAGGGATCAAGATGAATTCTCTACTATTTCTGCTGTTGTGTTTTGAGAACTAAGATTTAAGCAGGACAGGAAGTGACAGAAGACAAATTATGTCTACAACTTCAACACAGCCTGGAAACTAGAGGATCCTAAGCCTGTTATTTTCACCATCTGAAATCTGATTTAAAGATAACTTACCAGGAACACTAAGCTTGATACTACTGCCATAATGGAGGGAAAAAGCAACTTCAGACAAAAACATACATTTGTCATGCCTTCTAATATGACCAACTTGTATCCTATAATACCAAAGTGCATGGACACAGCCTGAGGTGATAAGGAACATATCTTTTAAAAACTTCCACACTTTAGTTCAGTCATGGTGGTGGTTTTTTCAATCCAAGGTTTTTATTTATTTTTAAAAATTATTTTTTTCCAGCTTTACTGAAATCTAGTTGACAATTCAATTCATTCAGACCCAACCGGCACTGATTACCCATTTAAAAACTTGTATTCAGTCCGGAAGCTGAGAAAGTTTCCCAGCTTCAGGTAACCTCCTGTAGGTCTCAGGGTCTTGTGTGTCTGATAATAGGCTTAAAATTCCTCCCTCCTCATTTATACCGCCTAATCAATGCTAAGAACACTAAGAACTGTCATGATTTGGTTATTTTGCAGTTTCTTACCCAGATCAGTTTACCGTTCAGTTCCTTTATTAGTTTCCTGTGGGTAGAATCATCAAGCAATGGTCATGTCCCAGAGTTGCCTTCCAAGTACAGATTAGATATACTGAAAGGGTTCATCAACTTCCTCTCTACCAGCCAAGCCTCCAGATTTTACAAACCCTGTCTATGCAAGGGGATTATCTGCATCATGCTTTAAGCCCTCTCCATGGGTTCCCTTGGGTTCTTCAAGCCAGTTTAGGAATCCAAGTGCAGTTACTTTCTGCAAACTTATTCCTCGTATCAGACAACATTTTAGACAACAATTTCTATAGCCTTCTTCATAAGCCACCTTCTTGTAGTCTCCTTTCTTGCCATAGACCAGTGGTTCTCAACTAGGGATGATTTTGCCCTCGGGGACATTTGGCAATGAATGGAGAAAATTTTTCCTTTATTTTTATTGTGATAAACTACACATAACATAAAATTCACCATTTTATTTTTTTAAAGATTTTATTTATTTATTTGAGACAGAGAGAATGAGATAGAGAGAGCATGAGAGGGAGGAGGGTCAGAGGGAGAAGCAGGTTCCCTGCTGAGCAGGGAGCCCGATGAGGGACTCGATCCCGGGACTCCAGGATCATGACCTGAGCCGAAGGCAGTCGCTCAACCAACTGAGCCACCCAGGCGCCCAAAATTCACCATTTTAAACTACTATACAATACAGTGTATTTGACGCATTCAAATGTGTAACCGTCACCTCTACCTAGTTCCAGAACATTTTTATCACCCAAAAGGAAATCCTATAATGATTAAGCAGTCATTCCCAATTCCCCTTTTCCTCAATCCAGCGGATTTGGGGGGCCAGGAAGCAGGGCCTCTAACTGAAAGCATGCTATGATTGATACCTTTCCTCTCGCATGACGATACTCATACCTTTCATTATTCTCTGCTATTAAGAACTTATAACCACTAATCTGCTTTCTGTCTCCATGGATTTGCCTATTCTGGATATTTCATGTAAGTGGAATCATAAAATACATGGCCTTTTCTGTCTGGCTTCTTCGATGTAGCATAATGTTTTCAAGGTTCATCCACGTTGTATAATGTATAAGTACTTCATTCCTTATTATGGCTGAGTAATATTCCACTATATGGATATACCACATTTGGTGTACCTATTCTTCAGTTGATGGACACTGGGGTTATTTCCACCTTTTTTAGCTATTAGAGACATTTCTGATTTTCATGATTTGGAGGATTCCACTGGTATCTAGTACACAAAGATCAAGAATGCTGTTAAACATTCTACAATGCAAAAGGATAGCCTTCACCACAACAAAGAATTATCCAGTCTAAAATGTCAACAGTGCTGAGGTTAAGAAACCTTGGCATATGCTGTAAAATGACTACTCCAGAGTCAATGATTCAGGGGATCTCACTTGATAGGTTCTGACTAGCATCTGAATGAATCGTCAATGCAGCACTCAAGGCCTTACTGCCTCCTCTTTCAATCCATCTTCTAGAAGCTACTAGAATTCTGGTTCTTTTTCCTTTCTCCTCTAGTCAAGAGGTTGATTGTCTTGAAGGCTGCCTGACCCTTCCGTGGACTTGAAATACAGATCATCGTCTTTGCCTTCCTTTCAATAGGCAGCTGGTACTAATGTCTGAAACGCCTCTCTTGCATCTCAGGATTTGGCTCCTGCCACAGGATCTTAACTTTTATAACAATAATATTTAAACATACAAGCTTTTAACATAAATTAGAACATGTGCTAAACACACTACACACATTATTATAGTTAATTCTCACAATAATCTTAAGCACTTGGCATTATTCTTATCTTTCTTTTAGAGATGAGCCTTGGAATTGTTAAGTAAGTTACCCAAGGTTATGTCATTAGTAAGTAGCAAAGTAGGCCTTCAGAATTAGGTCTCATTCTCAGCCTAAGTTTTTCACTCCAGTGCTATGTACTTTGGGCATTTATCGCTTTTGACTAAATGTACTCCTACTATTGCAGGAGTAAACCCCATAGGTCTATTGAGGGCAATCCTGGGAAAGTAATCACTCAAGAAAGTGCCTGACTTGCTTTCAATCAGTTCTTCTCACCAAGTAGACAGTTAAGTAACTAAAATAGTGGGAGCAGAAAGATCAAAAGGAAAACAAAACTCGAAGCGTATTCTCCCCTGGTAGAATCCTCACTCTAAGATATTATTATCCACAGCAGCAATTTCCACTGGGAACTTTTGGGGGGCCAAGAAGCAGGGCCTCTAACTGAAAGCATGCTATGATTGATACCTTTCCTCTCGCATGATGATACTCATACCTTTCATTATTCTCTGCTATTAAGAACTTCGTATCTTCTGTGTGTGTTGGTGTCTTTCCCTCACTCATGCCACCATGCGGGAACTCTATCTCACCACACAGGGTCTTACACAAAAGCTCAAATAATGTTTGTTAAATAAATACAATTCTACAAGTATCTCAGTGCCTTTTCACCATGTGAACACTCAAATTTAGTGCTTTTCACCAAGCATATATCTAGAATGTCCAAACTGGCACCTATATTATCTCAGTTACCTCAGCAGAAACTTTCAACCTAAGAACAGGCCATCCCCAGTACCAGGACACTGCACTCCCCTGGGTTATATGGATACTTTACCCTCGTTGGTAAGGACTAACATGAACAATGACACACAGGCAGTTCCACTATCAATAAAAACATGTTTGCACATTGTCTTATACTAGCTTCATGACAACACAGAAGTTCAGAAGCTACAGTGTAAAAGCTGCAACTCTAAGTATCATCACAGGAAAGAAATTTTACAAGATTGGCCCTGAATCAATGGGAGAGGCAAGATCTGAACTTTGCTACTAACACCTCATTAGTCGAAGCTGCCATATTTAGGTCAACAGGGCTATTAATGTTACAAGGTACATTAACTTAGTCAGGCTTTTTAGCAAGCAGGGAGCCGAGGTAGTATCAAGGAAAAAAAGAGCTTTCTTTGCCCTGTTTGCCAGACTTCTTTTGTAACAAAGTGACGCATTAATTTTCTATGCTAAACTCCCAACTCTTTCAGTATTGCTTAAGGTATAACCCCTGGCCATAACTCCTAGACCATGTGAATGTTAATAATTTCCACAAAACTTCCATTTTCCTGAAACATAACATTTAAATTTTAAAAAATTATTTGGGGTATCTATATACCAGAATTTATAGTAAGCAATGGTCCATGTGGAAGGCTTTCATTACATATTGCTAATGTAGGATTTCTAGCTTTCAATCCTCTTTACCTTTTGCTTTTGTCTATATTATTTCAAATTCAGTTGATGTTAAAACTCTACTTACTTCTTCATTTTGAGGGGTTGGAGGAGGTCTTTCTAAATCCAGAAAATCTAGTGGTCTTTCACTTAGTGTAAGTACACGAGGTGGTGTTTTTAGTGCCAGAGGTTTAAAGGGAGTTGACTGAATAAGGTCAAGATCTGCTGGTCTTGAAAATGGAATGTCTTCATTATTTCCTGGGAGTAAAAAAATAAAAAGGAAAGGAGGGAGGTTTTAAAAGACAGTGGTTTTATTAAAATGTATCTGCCACTACACATCCCCTACAATGACTAAAATTAAAGACTGACAGTACAAAGTGTTGGCAAGGATGTGGAGCGATAGAAACTCTCATACACCACTGATGGGAACATAATATGTACAATCAATTTCAAAAACAGCTTGACAGGTTTTCATAAAGTTAAACATAACTTATGGTATAATCTAGCAATTCCACTCCTAGAAATATGAAAACACACATCTCTACAAGAACTTGTACTTTAATGAAGCTTTATTCCTAACAGACCCAAACAAGAAACAACCCAAATCTCCATCAATAGGTGAATTCACAAACAAATTGTGGTATATGCAAATAGTGGAATAGGACTCAGCAATAAAATGGAATGAACAACTGATACAACCAAGAACAGGAAAGAATTTCAAAAAACATTACACTAAGCAAAAGCCAGACCCAAGAGTATGAACTGTATCATTCCATTTATATGAAACTCTAGAAGAGATGAATCTAGTCTCTGGTTATAGAAAGGAGATTATTGTTGCCTGGAATTGAGGCGGGAGGAACTTAAGGAGATGGGGCACAAGGAAACCTTTCAGGGTAATGAAAATGTTCTATATCTAGACTGTGGTAGAAGGTCACAGGAGTATATGCATTTGTCAAAACTCATCAAGCTTCACACTTAAAAATTACATGTATTTTATGTATGTAAATTATGTCTCAATTAGTTGAATTAGTAAAAAATACTGTCTGAAATTTCAGGCGATTATAATAAAACTTTTGAAAATAATGTAAAGTTGTATTTCCCATCCCCTTTTCTAAATAGTATTTTGAAAAACCCAGAAGTTTTCATAAAAATACATAAAACAAAGACTTATCAGATAACTTTATAAACAAATGTAAAATACCTGCTACAACAATCCTCTCTGGAACCTGCATAATGACACTAGCGTTTGGAACTCCTTCTTGGAATCCTTGTTCCAGGTCAGCATTTGGTGGTGCTACCTTTAATTTCTCCGGGACCCTCATTTGCTGACTAATACCTTCGGTGTATTCCATTTCATACTGAATTCGACTAATTTCCGCCATCTCAGCAGCAGTGGGAGAAGGAAATGCTGCCCCACTCACTCTGTGGGCAAAAATTTAAAGACGGGGTGACTGTTAAAATGTCAGTCTTCTTTACGAAGTGAAGTTAGAAGACAATACCTTGTAGGAAGCGCAAAAGGAGACTTCTCATTTGTGAGTAGTGAATACGTACAAAGGAAAAGTAAAAGACTGAAGAAAATGTTTTCCTCAACATAATGCCTTCTCACTTATCAGCTGAAATGGCACCCTAAGGATATTGGTTAAAAGCAAAATTTAAAATTATTGTATAACCACAAAACAAATGTGCACATACATATACACTACCTTTCTCTCTGCATAGCTATGCATGCAGCTTATAAATCAAAAATGAATGAAATAAAACTTAAATTAAAATTTCCTAGTTAATAATTTGAGGGAAAGCTACTAGGATTTTATAAAAATAAATTAGGAATTGCTGTCATGCATGAAAAAAATAAAACCTTTTAATGATGAAAATCAAATTCATAAAGTAAATAAGGCTAATTCTAAATTTATTTAAAAAATGTATTCCCCTGAAAAATCACAAGATACAAATTCAAACTTCTCTTACTGAATGTATACCTAGTGACTGAGATGCAATGAACACCAAATATAGAATATGTAGCAATGAATCCTTCCTGGATGCATTCGTTTCGTGGGATTAAAAGCTTCACATTAACCTGTATTTAATTTCATATTTACATGTATATTTTTTAAAAAGCATAACATGCCTTAATGGGGAAAGACAGTACAAATGCACTGAATAACTTTCTAAATTAGAGAAGGATCCGTGCTTCAGGAAAATGCAGAGAAAAGTTACCCCCAAATACAAAATGTTGAAAGAAGTGTAAAAGAGCATGGTTAGCTGATGGCAATCAGCTTTAAAGCCACTATCTCTCAAGCCTACAGTACCAGCTCAACTGAATAAAATGTCACTGACCTTCCTAGGGGTGTGTCACTGCTTGTTCTTTTACTCATTTTTAATACAGTAAATACACGTCTAGAATAGCTATTAAGATACTGCTACCCTGTAGTTCAGTTTACTTTATACAACAATTCCCCTACAGATCTGAACTTTTTTGGAGGTGTACATAACAACACGGACACTGCTTTTCCAGCTGTAAAAAAGAAAGAATAAAAATCAGTATTTCAACAATTCATTCATTAAAAAAAAACCATGAATAAAAGTAAATATCTACTTAAAATTATCTCTAAGACTTGATTTACAAAACCAATTCTCATATTTATCCCAAACAGAGTTATTCTATACCTCAAAACTCATAAAGATGATTTTACACACAGTCACTATTTTATGATTTCCCAAACAGGATAATCAAACGTATATAAATATATGAAGTCAGAGTAAAAAAAAAAAAAAATTTTGCCATAAGACTCCTTTAATCATTATATTCTGAAAGGGGAAAAAGTCCTTTTCTTTTTTAAGGCTTAAGTACAATACAAGGAAGAAATCATGAAGAGAATGTAAAGGGCAGAAATAAATATATCTGACGTAACCTAAAAAACTGATGTATAAGTAATGGTTTCCTTAAAAGGAAATGGCTTCAAAAGCCAAATTACACTGAATTTTCAGCAAAAGATATTATATATAAATCAAGGGCAATAAAAAGTAAAGACGGTATAAAGGTGAGTCATACCTGGGGTATTTCCTAAACTCCATGTCAGAGATGTGTTACAACCCTTGAACTACCTCAGTAAGATGCTTAGGAGAGTTCTTGGAGGTTGCTTGGAGTGCTAAGCCCTGACAACTGGTTAATTATGACTGCTAAATTGCTTCCTTTATTCTTTACCAAAATGTGTGAATTTTAAGGATCTGGCATGCAGATGGTTTAAAGACTAAGAAAATAGATTCAAAAGACAAAATTTTTACTCACAAATGTGTACCAACTACAGCTTGCTATTTGGCACTATCTGCTTCTGTGCTTCATATTAAATCCTTTAACTCGCTTCAATGTGCCTGTGCTGGATTTAGAGCCACTTTTGTCCCTAGGGGAGAAAAATAGGAGCTCATTGAAAACCTACATGATACCAACATTAGGGATTCATTGCTGGAAATCCTCTACATGGTAAGTCACCAAAGATACACAACCTTATATTAAGAAACCAATACAACACAGAAAAAATTAACAAGCTTACCACCAATTTTAGTCCCACGGACAGGGCCCTACAATCATTCATTAGTTAATGCAAGATAAGATAAAGAACTGTCATCATTTCTGATTTGAATTTAGAAAGATGTGACAAATGAAAAATATTTAAGTTTGAAAGAATCTTAATACTTATGTGTATATAGATATATATTAAGGAGGAAAAAATGCATTTTGGCTAAATTTTCATTCAGCTATTTTCATGCAATACTTGATTTAATTTCCTATTTATTTCATTCACAACTTTCAGTCAGTATTTGAATTTGAACCAGTAATATATGCACATGGTACAAAGCACACAAGAACATTCAGAGAAAACACAGTGTCCCACCAGACCCTATCCTATAACCACCTAGGTCCCCACAGGCAATCTCTATTATAATTTTTGTGCATCTTTCTAGAGGAGAAACTCTCCAATACTTGTGTGTAGATGAAGCACAATAAAAGCTTATATTCAGATATGATATTAAAAAGAGGTATCTCAAAATAATCATAGTCTTGGGACATTATAAATTGAAGTTTTATAATAAACAAGGGACACAAATAACCAGAACACTATCTCCCTGAAACGTGCTGTTCTCCCCACTCCATTTACTGCATTTCAGTCATATTGACTTCCCACCAATACATCATCCCATGAGGTCAAAATTTCATTAGTTTCATTCTATAGCAACATCTTATGAGAATCTGTCAGCCTGTAAAATATCAGACTTAGATCATAAAGATAGATGCTGAAAAGACAACCTCTAGAAAAAGCCAAATTTTCCTGTAGCATATTTGAACTACTTAAATTTAAAAAGTAAATAGAGGGGCGCCTGGGTGGCTCAGTCATTAAGCATCTGCCTTCGGCTCAGGTCATGATCCCAGGGTCCTGGGATCGAACCCCGCATCCGGCTCCCTGCTCGGCGGGAAGCCTGCTTCTCCCTCTCCCACTCCCCCTGCTTGTGTTCCCTCTCTCGCTCGCTCTCTGTCAAATAAATAATAAAAATAAAATAAAAAAATAAAAAGTAAATAGAACTTTTCTAAGATATAACACTGTACTGTCCTAATTAGATCAGAATCTATCTTTTTTCCTCCCTCATTAGACTGTAGCATTTTTGGTATTATCTTTTGGCAATACATAAAATAAACTTCTCATATGGAGTTAAGATATTAACTCCAGGGGTTCTGTCATTAGAATCTATTAGGCAGCCAGTACACGATTCTCCGTCATATAATTAAGGAGACAAAATCTCTCTCAGAATCACAGATGATTTTAGACCTCTAATCTCTAAGCCTACAAGTTCCCAAATAGCAGTAATTTACCAATTTTATAGTTTTTTCCACATTCCCACGGTGCATTTACTCTCAACCTACATTTAAGTTTTTCTTTAACTCAACTTTTAAACATCTTAAATGTATTTTATTTTTTTACTGCCTTAAACCATACATGTATAAATACATGTAACCAAAACATAACTAAAAGAAAAAAATCCTCATCCATATACTATTTAGAATCAAGTCAAATTCCACTCCTGGAAAGTGTCCCAAATTTGGGACAAATGATTCAAGCTTGACTTTCTTATTTTCTATATTAGAACACTGGAACCCAAAGAAATCGTCCAGGAAGTCGCAGAAACAACTTGGGTCAAATTGATTGTGGTTGCAAAGATTTATATAATTCTCCAATTATTAAAAAAAAAAAAGTCCGGTTCTTTATCACTTATTGTGTGGACCTAGTTCAAGGTTTTTATATAGGTCACCCTGTTTCCGTTCTCTTTTCAAGCAACTATACTTTAAAAATAGGTGCATTAGCAAATCAGGTTGTAGTAATGCAGGATTAATTGTAGTTTGGAAAGAAAAGCCACCAAAAACTTGAAAAAAAACACAAATCCACAAATTTTAAAACAAGCTTATGAATCCACAGAAAACAAGTTTCAACAGCAGAAGGGAGGAAAGCAACTGCTAAACTTTGTAATCCTGAAACGAGGCAGCCCTATCGGACAGGAAGGGATAGAACACACAATTGCCTTTTGGAAAGAACAGCTAAACCAATTCCCAAGTGTTTGAAACCAAAAAGATAGCAGGTCCTACACATAATTTAATTACACGGGGAGAAGACTACTAAGTATAACTAAGTCGTTCTAATTCTTTCCAAATCCATTTTCCTGAGGGTTTTTCCTTTGGGATCTCATTAGCCGACGAAACTGACACAGAAACAAATGCTTTTAATCTAGGGAGAGAAAACATTTAAGGTCCTTCAGGTCAAGTCTCTCAGTGGATGGGAGCCTTGAATACAACTGGCTCCACACTGGGGAACGAGGGCTGTGGGGCGTTTCTTATCTGCCGCAATGAAAAGCTGTCACCACTTGGAAAGGGTACTCATGCCTACAGAGCGCCCCTTGCTCTAACGCTGTAGGACGCGGCCCGGGGTGTTCTTGCACCATCCAAGGGGCCTCGTCCTGCCGGTGAAGGTCGGAGGCTCGGCGGAACCGGCGCCCGAGCTCTCCTCCTACGGCTTCCCGGCTCCTGGAAGGAAATCCGAGGAGCAACTAACTCCCAGCATCCACACCTGGGAGCAAGCGTGCTTACAGACCCACCCGACCCGGGGCCTCCCGCCGCCGACCGGCTTCCAGCACCGCCTTCCTTTCCGAACACACGTATTTCCCACAAAGCAAAAAAAAAGAACAAAACAAAACAAAAAACTACTTGTCAAGCCGGCTGGCGTCTGGTCCAAGGTCATTCTGAAAGGGGCCAGAGCCTCGGCCGGGAAGGATGAGGGGAAACCCCCAGCAAAGCTCCGCGTTCAAGCTCTCAGGACGCCCCCAGTGTTTCCCCCACCCCTCCCCCAGACTGTCAAAATGAGACCCCGACCTAGAAAGGTGGGGGCAGGTTAGCCCCAAAACGTTCGCAGGAGCGTGTGCTGCTCTCCTCAGAGACGGAGGAGGCGGCAAGGTCCTGAGGAGGAGGAAAGGCCAGAGCCCGGAGGTCGGGACTCGCGGGGACACCATGGACCGGCCGGGGCCACCGCGGGTCCCTCCGTCGGCCGGACGGTCACGGCCGCGGCGATAGGCCCGAGGCCGGCTCGGGCCGCGAGTCGCGGGTCCCGGGTCCCGGGTCGGGAAGGCATCAGCACTCACCCCTGGGCCCGCTGGAGGGTCCCCGGCGAGGGCCGCCGCCCGCCGGCTCCCGGGGCGTTCGGCTGGGCGCTCCTAGAGGCGGTTGGCCGAGCGCACTGCGGCGCCGGGGCAAAGCACCGGCCGGAGCGGCCCAAAGCGGGCCGGCAGAGACGCGAGAACCGCCGGGGCTGGCCCTTGCCAGGAGCCGTAGCTGAGGCGGGTTCCTGGTCATGTGACGCAGGGAAGGGCGGATGTGAGGCTCACGCACAGGAGCGGGGGCAGTGCGACGGCGATACGGGGACATATTTGTTGAGGGCAAAGTGCACCAACCGGAGGCAACAACCCTTCTGTGGTTTGAGTTTGGTTCACGCTTGAACTTAACTAGAGTTCGTGATCTGTAAGACCCACGTGTTTACAAGGTAAACCTTCGATAGCCAGTTAAAATGACTATTTTCAGGACTGTTTGCATCAAAATCTCTGTGGCGTGAGGCCTAATACTCTGAATATTTCACCAACTCTGCAGGTGATACTCCAATTTTGATTACTGGTCGAGCCCTCTAATTATTAGATGTCTTGACAGTGACCGCTGCCCTGACTGGCTTCACTAATCCCTCACTATGAGAATGCTGGAAAAGGAGAAGTTCGGTT